GAGTCCTGGAGATGGGAAGTACAGTGCCTGCACTCTGAAGGAGGGGTGTTAATGTTGAAGTTTAAAAACTGTAGTGTAAAGCACCCTTCTGGCAAGACAGTGATGGAGTGAATGATGGTGAAAGTTTTTCTTTTTCGGGCCACCCTGCCTTGGTGGGAATCGGCCAGTGTGATAATAATAATAAAAAAAAAAAATTCAAATTTCCAGGGTCGTCACACCAACCTGCTGGTACTGTTTGGAGGCACTACTTGCTGCATAAGTCATTCCAATTTCTTTTTCTCCATTTATTGTTATAACCTGCTTACTTTTAGCACTAGCAATGGTTCCAATGAATAAAAGAAATGCTTCTCGTTGTGTAAAGCACCTACACAGTACATTGTCCATTAAAGATAAGGTGGCTTTGAAGCCACTGTCGGTTGCCATGAGCTCAGTTTCGTGATGCAGGGGAATATGCTTTATTATTACGCTAATATCAACACTACTGCTTATTTGCCTATCACAATTGATCTAATATGACATAATAAACAATATAAATAACATAAAAACATATTAAATACGTACTCCAGAATAAATAATTTTTGGCATAATACCGAGCAGTTCGACGGAGGTATGAAGAGGATATGGGATACAAGTACCATTCTCCTATCCCGGGCTTGGGGCTTATATTAGAGAAAACGGAGTATAACACAGGGTTAACTGTGATATACACTTGTACTGCACCATAAAACTGAAACTAAAAAGCTATTTTCTAGGCCTGTTGCAGCATTCCTTCTTTCTTATGTTCTACATTCATTATCACACACAGCATCATATGTGTAGAGAACCTAGGATAACCCAAAAAAAGTCAGTGGCTTATTTCTAGTACGTACCTAGCTTGGGGTAGCCATATATGATTTTTGGTAAATATTCAATTCCCAGCCAGGGTAGAAGTAGTAAGTTTATTCAGGTATACACAAATACAGTTACATAGATTATCATACATAGCAGCATATGTGTAAAGTACTTAGGATAACCCAAAAAAGACAGTGATTTATTTCCATTGGGGTCCTTTTACCTTATTGTAATATAAAGGAGATAATATCTTATTATTATTCTATAAAGACTATCTATTACGCAAGGGTCACTAAGACTATCTACAATACGAGGGTCATTACTAAGAACAAGGTAAAATTACATGTGTGTTAGCTAAAAAAAAATAATAATAAAAAATCATTCCCCTCCCTTTCTGTAGCTACATTCATTAGGCACCTTTTGGTTCTCTTCTTGAACTGGTTCATGCTATGACTAGCTTTGACATGTGTGGGTAGTCTGTTCTATTCCTTTATTGCTGTACAATAGGTGTTTGAAGCCTGGCCACTAACTATGGGTACTGTAAAGTTGTGCTCCCTTTCCCTAGTTCTTTGGTTATTTTGGTTCCCAGCCTTGACAAAAATGGCAGCAAGATATTCTGGACAATGTTTGTGAGCAATTTTATAAACTTGATTTAGCTTCAGTTGTTTTACTCTGTCTTCAACATTCAGCATATCCAATTGTTGTAATTCATCCTGGCCTACATGCTCTCTTGGACCCAGGTCCAGGATGAATCTTACCATTTTGTTCTGGGTGATATGCAGTCTATCCTACAGTTTTTTTTTTTTTTTTTTTTTTTTTTTTTTTTTTTTTTTTTTTTTTTTTTTTTTTTTTTTTTTTGTCAAGGCAGAGTACCATATGACAAGGCATAGTCCATATGACATTGTATAAGGGCTAGACATAGGGTGCAAGCCTCAGTAGGTAGACACTGTGCTTGTCTATAGAGGAACTTCACTCTGGCATTTGCTTTCTTTACTTCACTGTTCCCTATCAATTCTCCTGACATGCATGGGTCAAAGGAGATTCCCGAATATCTTACTACCCCTACCCCGCCTTCCTTCCACTACAGACTGATACACTCTTGAAGTTATTCTGTTTCGCTCCATTTTCTCCACATGTCCGAACCACCTCAACAACCCTTCCTCAGCCCTCTGGACAACAGTTTTGGTAATCCCGCACCTCCTCCTAACTTCCAAACTACGAATTCTCTGCATTATATTCACACCACCATTGCTCTCAGACATGACATCTCCACTGCCTCCAGCCTTCTCCTTGCTGCAACATTCATCACCCATGCTTCACACCCATATAAGAGCGTTGGTAAAACTATACTCTCATACATTCCCCTCTTTGCCTCCAAGGACAAAGTTCTTTGTCTCCACAGACTCCTAAGTGCACCACTCACCCTTTTTTCCCTCATCAATTCTATGATTCACCTCATCTTTCATAGACCCATCCGCTGACACTCCACTCCCAAATATCTGAATACTTCACCTCCTCCTTTACTCTCTCCCTCCAATCTGATATCCAATCTTTCATCACCTAATCTTTTTGTTATCCTCATAACCTTACTCTTTCCTGTATTCACTTTCAATTTTTTTCTTTTGCACACCCTACCAAATTCATCCACCAATCTCTGCAACTTCTCTTCAGAATCTCCCAAGAGCACAGTGTCATCAGCAAAGAGCAACTGTGACAACTCCCACTTTATGTGTGATTCTTTATCTTTTAACTCCACGCCTCTTGCCAAGACCCTCGCATTTACTTCTCTTACAACCCCATCTATAAATATATTAAACAACCACGGTGACATCACACATCCTTGTCTAAGCCCTACTTTTACTGGGAAATAATTTCCCTCTTTCCTACATACTCTAACTTGAGCCTCACTATCCTTGGTAAACAAATACCATTCTCCTGTCCTTGTCTTGGTGGCTTATATTAGAGAAAATGGAGTATAGCACAGGGCTAACTACGATATACACTCGTACTCCACCATAAACATGAAACAAAAAAAGTTATTTTCTCTCTATAGATTATCACACATAGCAGCATATGTGTAGAGAACCTAGGATAACCCCAAAAAACTCAACGTGGCTTATTTTTAGTACCTGGCTTGGATTAGCCATATATGATTTTTGGTAAATATTCGATTCCCAGCCAGGGTAGAAACATTAGGCGTGTTTCTTTACACCTGTTGTCTATGTTTACCCATCAGTAAATGGGTACCTTGGTGTTAGTCGACTAGTGTGGGTGTTTTCCTGGGACACTGACCTAATTTTCTTGAAATACTCAGCATAACAAGTGCCTTTCTATACAGTAGTATTGTAGATAGTCTTAATGACCCTCGTGTAGTAGATAGTCTTTTTAGTATGATAATAAGATGTTATCTTCATTATAGAATAATAAGAAAATATTATAACATAACTGTATTTGTGTATACCTGAATAAACTTACTGATGTCAGATAGGCCTGTATACCTTGTACATGTATGTGTAGTAAATAAAGATATTATTATTATTATTATTATTATTATTATTATTATTATTATTATACGTATTACTATTATTATATTATTATTATTATTATTATTATTATCTCAGTTTGTTGGGTTATCTTATTCAAACTTGGGCAATGTATGATGGAAAGATACTTCTTCATGTACACCAAAAATGAAAGAAATCAGACCATAAATAGCAGAGTTCACTTCTCAGCCATTAGCGGCTGCTTAGCGGTATATTTTTGTATGGTTGTTATGGTTATATTCTCATTTTTTTTTTTTTTTTTTTTTTTTTTTTTTTTTTTTTTGTCTCGTTTGATAGAATGAAAGATATATTACAGAAATAGATATGATTTTGATTGCTTTCATGATGAAAAGTACCTTGAAATTGCACTCACAGTAGCGAAAATGTTCTATTCTTTAGCAAAGATCAAGAGTAAACAAATGATGTCACTGTTCAATACCTGTCCGCCTGCCAGTCTAAATTCCAGAACGGAGTCAAGAATGGATTGACATTATTTATACAATTATTACAATAATGCCGTAGTCTGCATAACAGTAAATCTTTTTTTTTTTTTTTTTTTTTTTTTTTTGTGAATAAAAATTCCAAATGGTAAGCAAGAGTAATATAAGAAGGGCCTGTAGCTGTGACTAATGAACAGAGAAAATGTTATTTTAGTGCCAGGAATGTCTACATTGTTTATTCTGGATCCTATTTTGAAATTGGCATCTGTTGAAATTTGTGTGAAATCGGCCAAATTGCCAATTTCTGACCACTTTATTGGGTAGTTGAAATAAGTGAATGGGCGGTTTCTTGTACTCAGTTGACAGACTAGAAGTAAATAAGTTTATTCAGGTATACACAAATACAGTTACATAGATTATGATACATAGCAGTATATGTATAGAGAACCTAGGATAACCAGAAAAGTCAGACAAAGTGACTTATTTCCAGTACCTGGCTTGGGCTTTCCATATATGATTTTTGGTAAATATTTTTTTTTCTCGGTTGTTTGTTGGGCTATCTCATTGAAACTTGGGCAATGTATGATGGAAAGATGCTTCTTAACGTGCAACAAAAATAAAAATGACGGATGATAAATAAGGGAGTTCACTTCTCAGCCATTAGCCGCCTCTTTGCAGTATATTTTCGTTTGGTTTTTATGGTTGCATTCTCATTTTTTGGACTCATTTGATATAATGCAAGGTATGTTACAGAAATAGACAAGATTTTGATTGCTTTCATGACGAAAAGTACCTTGAAATTGAGCTCAAAGTAGCGGAAATGTTCGATTTTTGCCGATGTTCAATGAACTGTGTAAGTCAAGTTGGTTAATTTTATTAAGTGTATTCTAACTTAACCACTGTAATTCGGCAAACTCAGTAATCCGGCACACTACAGGTCCCAATGATGCCGGATTTGTGATGGAGGACCTGTATTTTCTTTTAAGCTACTGGTATTCAGTTCAGGCATTATAGCATTGATATTGTACTTCTTCCAAACTATTAATCATTATTGTTTTGTGTCCAATAGGATAAAGGAAGTGGATGAAGCTTATGCTGCTGCAATAAAAAAATGTGTGTGTTAATCCTTGCATTATGGAATGGTGTAAACATTTGGCATTAATGAGGTACGTTTTATGTTGCGCAGATTCTTTTTCTTGCTGGTCTTGCATTTGTGGCTGGTCTGGAGCGAACATTCCGTTTCTTCTTTCAACGACACAAGTGGAAAGGTTCAGGGGCTTTCTTCGGAGGGATTCTAATTGTCCTTGTTGGCTGGCCATTGATTGGCATGTGCATTGAAATGTATGGTTTTGTCCTATTATTCAGGTAAGTTACATATAAAATGCAAAAGAGTTAATCTGTTTACAATAATGTTTTATCACTGATTACATCATTGCTTAGTTAATCTTAAGTTAATTTTAAGCCTGCCCGTAATGCTATGCATACAAGTGGCTTTGGCATGCTGCTTTTACCTGTATTTTTTTGTACCTCTGTGTGTATGTTCAAATTATTAAATAAATAAATAAAATTAATAAATAAAATAATCCTGAGGCAGTGATACTATTATTGCAAATTCATATAAAATAAATTGAAAAGACAATCATTGTAATATTCTTGTTGGGACGAAAATGATTGGTATTTTAAATATATGCCATATGCATATGATTATTACAACTAGTACATATTTCTGCTGTTGTATGCCAGTTTTCTCTAGTACATTATTAATTACAATATGCTTCGGTATAATCTTAACAATTCAGTAAAAGTTTTTGTTGTAAGTAGTTAACTATTCAAGCCTTAACCCTTTCAGTGTCAGTTCCATAATATTACAGCTTGAGAACCAGTGTCAATCCCGTAATAATGCGGCAAAATTTTAGCTCCTTCAAATCTGGTGGAAGAAAGCTGATAGATCTGCATATGAAAGAATGGGTCTGTGTGGTCAGTGTATGCAGTATAAAAAAATCCTGCAGCACGCAGTGCATAATGAGAAAAAAATTTCTGACCGTGTTTTTAGTTTAACCCTTTCAGGGTCCAAGGCCCAAATCTGGAGTCACGCACCAGTGTCCAAGAATTTTCAAAAAAAAAATTTGTTATTTTTACTTATGAAATCGTAGAGAATCTTTTTGTGAAGGTAATAAAACAAAAAGTACGAAATTTGGTGGAAAATTGACGAAATTATGCTCTCGCGAATTTTGATGTGTCAGCGATATTTACGAATCGGCGATTTTGCCGACTTTGACTCCCATTTTAGGCCAATTACATTATTCCAATCAACCAAATTCTTAACTATTTCACTAGCATTACTTCTATTCTATCGATTGAGCACAAGAAATCACCAAGTCAACTGTTTCAACTACAAAATAAAGTGATCGGAAATTGTTAATTTGGCCAATTTAACACGAAGTTCAAAATATTCCAATTTCAAAATAGGGTCCAGAATAAACAACGTAGGCATTCCTGGCACTAAACTAACATTTCCTCTGTTCATTAGTTATGTTTTGAGGCTTTACAAATAAATTCCATTTTGATTTTTTATTCACATAATGAATTTTTATTCACACCAAAAAATAGAAGATTTACTGTTATGCAATACTGTAATAATTGTATAAATATCATCACCATATTTGTGAATGTATATTAGACCCACCATCTGACGTGTATTAGACGTGTGAGGTCGTTTGTTTACTCTTGAATATCGGCAAAAATTTAACATTTCCGCTACTTTGAGCTCAGTTTCAAGCCATTTCCAGTGCTAAAACCAATCAAAATCATCTCTATTTCTGTAATATGTCTTCCATTCTATCAAATGAGACCAAGAAATCGCAAATACAACTATAAAAAACATACGAAAAAACACTGCAAAGTTGCTGTTTTAATCGAAAAATCATGATTTCAGTTTTTTCTCTCATTATACACAGTGTGCTGCAGGATCTGTTTTATGTGGTGCACACATACCACATAGATGTATTCTCTCATATCTAGGCCCAAATGTACCACTCACAGTTTATCAGAGTGAGCTGAGCTCATGGCGTAGATCTACGGTTTGGACACTCACCATAAAGCCGTAGATCTACGGGACGGACCCTGAAAGGGTTAAAACAGCGACTTTGCAGTGTATTTTCAAATGGTATATATGGATGTATTCTCGTTTTCTTGGTCTCATCTGACAGAATGGAAGATAATTTACAGAAATGGAGATGATTTTGATTGGTTTCATGATGAAAAGTACCTTGAAATTGAGCTCAAAGTAGCAGAAATGTTCGATTTTTGCCAATGTTCAAAGAGTAAACAAATGACATCACTGTCCAGTATGTGTCCAGCTGGCCAGTGTAATATGCAGTCATGAATGGGTTGACATTATTTATACAATTATTATAATGCAGTAGTATGCATAACAATAAATCTTCTGTTTTTTTGTGAGAATAAAAATTGAAAATGGAAAGCAAGAGTAATATAAGAGGGGCCTGGAGATGTGACTAATGAACAAAGAAAATGTTATTTTAGTGCCAGGAATGTCTGCCTTGTTTATTTTGGACCCTATTTTGAAACTGGCATCTTTTGAAATTTGTGTGAAATTGGCCAAATTGCCAATTTCTGACCACTTTATTGGGTAGTTGAAATCAGTAAATGGGCAGTTTCTTGTACTCAGTCGATAGAACAATTGGAGTTCTAGCGAAATAGCTATGATTTTAGCAAACCAGAACAATGGAATGGGCCAAAAATAGGGAGTAAAGCGGGTGAAATCGCCGGTGTAAATATCGCTGAGATCGCTAACTTCACAAGAGTGTAATTTCGTAAGTTTTCCATCAAATTTCATACTTTTGGTGTCATTACAATTGGGAAAAGATTCTCTATCATTTCCTAAGATGATTCTTTTGGGGGGGGGGGATTTTTTTGACACTGAGTTAAGGATCAGGGGTCTCAATACTGAAAGGGTTAAGAGAAAATTGATCTTCATTTTCCAGATGTTGTGAGTTTCACTGAAAATTATACAGACAACAACAACAGCTGTAATAATGATAATAATCTTCAGCAGTTGGAGACCTATCTTTTTTCAGTATCCTTTTGAAGTCTCTTAACCTTTTCAGGGTCCATCCTGTAGATCTACAGCTTTACGTTCAGGGTCCAAACCGTAGATCTACGCCATGAGCTCAGCTCACTCTGATAAGCTGTGAGTGGTAAACTTGGGCCTATATATGAGAGAAAACATCTGTGGTATGTGTGCACCACAAAACAAATCCTGCAGCACACGGTGTATAACGAGATAAAAAAATCTGAGACCATGATTTTCGATTAAAACAGCGACTTTGCAGTGTTTTTTCGTATGTTTTATATAGTTGTATTTGCAATTTCTTGGTCTCATTTGATAGAATGGAAGACACATTACAGAAATGGAGATGATTTTGATTGGTTTTAGTACTGGAAATGGCTTGAAACTGCTCTCAAAATAGCGGAAATGTTAAATTTTTGTCAATGTTCAATAGTAAACAAACGACCTCATACGTCTAATACACGCCAGCTGGTGGGTCTAATATATATTCACAAATGTGATGATGATATTTATACAATTATTACAATATTGCATAACAGTAAATCTTCTATTTTTTGGTTTGAAAAAAAATTCATTATGTGAATAAAAAATCAAAATGAAATTTATTTGTAAAGCGTGAAAACATAACTAATGAGCAGAGGAAATGTTAGTTTAGTGCCTGGAATACCTACATTGTTTATTCTGGACCCTGTTTTGAACTTTGTTTTAAATTGGCCAAATTACCAATTTCCGATCAGTTTATTTTGTAGTTGAAACAGTTGACTGGCGATTTCTTGTGTTCAATCGATAGAATAGAAGTAATACTAGTGAAATAGCTAAGAATTTGGTCAACTGGAATAATGTAATTGGCCTAAAATGGGAGTCAAAGTCGGCAAAATCGACGATTCATAAATATCACTGACACATCAAAATTCGCGAGAGCATAATTTCGTCAGTTTTCCATCAAATTTCGTACTTTTTTATCTTATTACCTTCAGAAAAAGATTCTCTACCATTTCATAAGAAAAAATAACTTTTTTTTTTTTTTTTTTGACACTGGTGCACCCTTTGAAATTTGCCCTCTGGACCCTGAAAGGGTTAAGGCTCATGCATTATTGCTTTTCTGTTTTTGGTTAAGGCTGTTTTTTGTTAAAAATATTTTAATTAACCCCTAAACGGTCCAAACATATATATACGTTCACTCGCGCAGCGCCCCGAATATTTTGAAAAAAAAAAAATTTATAGAAAAAAAGAGTACATTTTTTAAGTGTTTTAGAATAAAAAAAAACTAGGATCAGTACTTACAGAGATATGAGGCCGAGAAGTTGGCATTGGATGCTTATGTGACGGCAACATGGAGTTCTGCTGCTTGCAGAAATGTTGCCGATATACCTTTTTTTCTATTTTTCATAATATTTCATATAATTTTTATGTTCTGATAATTACAATTTATAGTAGTTCTTGTCATTTCATAACCAATCTTTGTTCTGACACTAGTATTAGGTACTGAAATTGTACTCAAATTGTCACAAACACATTGACAGGTGGACATTTACACCTGCTTTGGTCATTTACTGTCTTGGAATATATACAAAGTATTTATAGATCCCAGCAATGTTTTGGATATGTGGAAGTATATAATAATAATGAGGAGGAGGAGAAGAATAGGAATAGGTAATAATAGTAATAGGTAATAATAAGTTCCTTTGAAGCATGAAAACAAAGTCCACCCCTGACAGTGACATGATAAGATGAGATAACATCTGATAAGAGTTGATGTTTGATGAGCATACACGAGGATGGGGGAGGGTGCAGCAGATAAAAGATTAGAGGTGACAATTGATGAGCATCGCCCTGACTTTATTTTCGCTGATACACAAACATGTCTGTCTGTCAAGCTCCCTTTCTGTCTACCCATCTAGCTCTCTGTCTCAGAGAGAGCAACAAGACTACATCATCACCTTTACTCACATCTTCAAGCAGAGTATAGCACTTTGTCTGGATTTTTTGGGTTATCCTAGGTAATTTATACTATGTATACTTGTATTTGTGTGTACCTGTGAGACAGAGATAGACAGAGACAGATTGAGAGAGAGAGACAGAGACATTGAAAGAGATAGAGACAGACAGACAAAGGCAGAGACAGACACTGATAGACAGAGATCGACAGACCCAAAATTTGGGGTTAACATCACTTTCCTCTTAAAAGAGGAGTGTTAATATGACATTACATCAGTGAGTCCTTGGTGTTTGTCACACTGTTTGCTCTAGCTGGGGTTCAGCTTAATTGGCACTCCCACATGGTACTAAGTGGTCCCAGACTTTTTTAATACTGCACACACCGAGTGTTAAGACCCATTCTATGCTGACCAGGCATCTCTGACCAATCGTGTCAAATTTGGAGGCAGGAAAATTAAAACGTATATATACAGATATATCAGATCACTTTTTAGTTGTAGCTACACTGAGAGTAAAAGGTAGATGGGATACAAGGGGAATAGAAGCATCACGGAAGAGAGAGGTGAAGGTTTATAAACTAAAAGAGGAGGCAGTTAGGGTAAGATACAAACAGCTATTGGAGGATAGATGGGCTAATGAGAGCATAGGCGATGGGGTCGAAGAGGTATGGGGTAGGTTTAAAAATGTAGTGTTAGAGTGTTCAGCAGAAGTTTGTGGTTACAGGAAAGTGGGTGCGGGAGGGAAGAGGAGCGATTGGTGGAATGATGATGTAAAGAGAGTAGTAAGGGAGAAAAAGTTAGCATATGAGAAGTTTTTACAAAGTAGAAGTGATGCAAGGAGGGAAGAGTATATGGAGAAAAAGAGAGAGGTTAAGAGAGGGGTGAAGCAATGTAATAAGAGAGCAAATGAGAGAGTGGGTGAGATGTTATCAAGAAATTTTGTTGAAAATAAGAAAAAGTTTTGGAGTGAGATTAACAAGTTAAGGAAGCCTAGAGAACAAATGGATTTGTCAGTTAATAACTCTCCTCTCCTATTTTTAAATGGAGAGTTAGAGGTATTGGGAAGATGGAGGGAATATTTTGAGGAATTGTTACATATTGATGAAGATAGGGAAGCTGTGATTTCGTGTATAGGACAAGGAGGAATAACATCTTGTAGGAGTGAGGAAGAGCCAGTTGTGAGTGTGGGGGAAGTTTGTGAGGCAGTAGGTAAAATGAAAGGCAGCCGGGATTGATGGGATAAAGATAGAAATTTTAAAAGTAGGTGGGGATATAGTTTTGGAGTGGTTGGTGCAATTATTTAATAAATGTATGGAAGGTAAGGTACCTAGGGATTGGCAGAGAGCATGCATAGTTCCTTTGTATAAAGGCAAAGGGGACAAAAGAGAGTGCAAAAATTGTAGGGGGATAAGTCTGTTGAGTATACCTGGTAAAGTGTAAGTTAGTTATTATTGAAAGAATTAAGAGTAAGACGGAGAATAGGATAGCAGATGAACAAGGAGGCTTTAGGAAAGGTAGGGGGTGTGTGGACCAGGTGTTTACAGTGAAACATATAAGTGAACAGTATTTAGATAAGGCTAAAGAGGTCTTTGTGGCATTTATGGATTTGGAAAAGGCATATGACAGGGTGGATAGGGGGGCAGTGTGGCAGATGTTGCAGGTGTATGGTGTAGGAGGTAGGTTACTGAAAGCAGTGAAGAGTTTTTACGAGGATAATGAGGCTCAAGTTAGAGTATGTAGGAAAGAGGGAAATTATTTCCCAGTAAAAGTAGGCCTTAGACAAGGATGTGTGATGTCACCGTGGTTGTTTAATATATTTATAGATGGGGTTGTAAGAGAAGTAAATGCGAGGGTATTGGCAAGAGGCGTGGAGTTAAAAGATAAAGAATCACACATAAAGTGGGAGTTGCCACAGTTGCTCTTTGCTGATGACACTGTGCTCTTGGGAGATTCTGAAGAGAAGTTGCAGAGATTGGTGGATGAATTTGGTAGGGTGTGCAAAAGAAGAAAATTAAAAATGAATACAGGAAAGAGTAAGGTTATGAGGATAACAAAAAGATTAGGTGATGAAAGATTGGATATCAGATTGGAGGGAGAGAGTATGGAGGAGGTGAATGTATTCAGATATTTGGGAGTGGACGTGTTAGTGGATGGGTCTATGAAAGATGAGGTGAATCATAGAATTGATGAGGGGAAAAGGGTGAGTGGTGCACTTTGGAGTCTGTGGAGACAAAGAACTTTGTCCTTGGAGGCAAAGAGGGGAATGTATGAGAGTATAGTTTTACCAACGCTCTTATATGGGTGTGAAGCATGGGTGATGAATGTTGCAGCGAGGAGAAGGCTGGAGGCAGTGGAAATGTTATGTCTGAGGGCAATGTGTGGTGTGAATATAATGCAGAGAATTCGTAGTTTGGAAGTTTGGAGGAGGTGCGGGATTACCAAAACTGTTGTCCAGAGAGCTGAGGAAGGGTTGTTGAGGTGGTTCGGACATGTAGAGAGAATGGAGCGAAACAGAGTGACTTCAAGAGTGTATCAGTCTGTAGTGGAAGGAAGGCGGGGTAGGGGTCGGCCTAGGACAGGTTGGAGGGAGGGGGTAAAGGAGGTTTTGTGTGCGAGGGGCTTGGACTTCCAGCAGGCATGCATGAGTGTGTTTGATAGGAGTGAATGGAGACAAATGGTTTTTAATACTTTACATGCTGTTGGAGTGTGAGCAAAGTAACATTTATGAAGGGGTTCAGGGAAACCGGCAGGCCGGACTTGAGTCCTGGAGATGGGAAGTACAGTGCCTGCACTCTGAAGGAGGGGTGTTAATGTTGCAGTTTAAAAACTGTAGTGTAAAGCACCCTTCTGGCAAGACAGTGATGGAGTGAATGATGGTGAAAGTTTTTCTTTTTCGGGCCACCCTGCCTTGGTGGGAATCGGCCAGTGTGATAATAAAAAAAATAAAATATACGTTTGGACTGTTTAGGGGTTAAATATAATATATAAGTAACTCTTTATTTAATGAACTAAGAAGGAAGGAGGTGTCTTCATAAGCTGTTAGCCATTAAATCCGAATTATGAAAATATTTTTCCTCACTCATAAGAGTAACAAACAATTTTGATCGAAAGGACTTTGTCTGTTAAACCCAAAATAAATTTGCCCAGTGGTATGTAAGAATAGCAGCAGGTAATTCTGAGCCTAATGAACTTCATTGTTTCTGATTGTTGTCTGGCTACAGATTTTTGTCTGTTAAATCCAAAATCATTTAAATTGAGGTTTTTCTGTGCTTAGCTATAAGGTAATCTAGGACTGTGGTGTATTCTTTCACAATTTTTATTAGAATCTTTTCTATTGTGCTGTAATTACTTAGAAAGGTTGGCAAGCAGAGATTTTAAATAAGCCAAAGTAGCTTTTGAGGCTGTGAAGGTAAAAGGTGAACAAAGTTTATATAGTCTTCTGAGAAAGATTGTTAAAAAAAATTCAGGGATTGTTCAGAATAAATGAAATAAAGGAAGAACTCAGAGGACTGTGTGTTGAAATGGGAGGGTTGATGGAGGAAAGATTAAAAGTTTAAAAATGAGAAGGTAATGAGAGAAGAAAGGTGAGGTTGTATATGTATGGCAGGTGAGTGAATGTTTTACTGAGGCAATCTACAGGTTCATTTACATGGCTCATTCCTTCACAAATATTGTACTTTGTTAAAGTTAATATACAGTAAACCTTCAGTTTAATGACACTCGATATAACATACTTTCTGAAATACACTGTAAATGGGTAAATTCTATGTTTTAACTCATTGATTTTTCAAATTTTATTACAGTATTTCTGTAAATTGTACAGTACTGTATTAAATATACACTGGAGTAATTTAGTGCTTTTACTTAAGGTTTTACATTATTCTGATTCAATAGACACTTGGAGAATTTCCTCCTCTATTAATCCATTACATCGAGGGTTTACTGTACATGTAATACTTCTATAGCCTTGTACAGTGTCTTTCATATTGCTCATGTGTCCATTTATTACTTTCCAGCGGATTCTTCCCAGTAGCTGTTAACTTCTTGCGTCGTATGCCAGTCATTGGAACGATTCTTAACCTTCCTTTCCTCAGTGGAGTAAGTTGATGTGGTATATGGATTGCTACTGTGTATCTAGTGGTGGTGTATAGTAGATAGTTTGACATGTGCAGTACATCTAATTGGTTCCGAAGAAGTAAATTATAATTTTTCAAACAGGTAGCACCTCAAGTTTTTTATTTGTTTATGTATGGGTGGGGGGTTATCACTTTGTTAGTTTTATTCATTACTGTACTGTACAATATTATTTTTTTAAAGTACAATAGTTGCACCTAAGAAATTTACATTTATAATTTAGTGTATCATTTTTCTCATTTTATTGATCTAAGCTATGGCTCAGACAACTGATATGGCATAACATGCTCTGGGGATAAAAGCAAAGACATTTCCCCAAACTACATAAGATGGATAAGGCTCTCATAAATGCCATGACAGTATTAGCATGACATTCTTTACATGTGGAAATCATGAACAGTATAACTTGTCTGATAAGAGAATTAGTCTCGAAAAGTCTGATGCTATCCAGTTAATTGATGATACATGACATGTCACATTTTAAATTCTTATTAATGTATACAGTTGACTGTCAGTTAACATAGTGGTTATTTCCCTGAGAAAGTTGTGTGATTTAAATAAAAATGTATAAAATGACTTACAGAACTTGTAGGAATAAAGGGGTTAAAATCCTCAGACTCCCTCCAAAAATGACAAACATTGTTTTGAAGCTTAATAATTCATCAAGACTAAAAAACAGTAAAGTTTTGTATTCATTACATTATTGTTATCATTGCCTGTTGATAAAGAAATGTACAGTGGAACCTGTACTTGCAAGCACATCCACATGCAAGTTTTTCCAAATACAAGCAGTCGATGAGTCGATTTTTTGCTTCCATACACGAGTGAAATTTCCATAAGCGAGCGGACCTCAAGGGAGGTTTCTTGATGCTGGTGAGAGGCTCTTGCTCTTGATCTAGGGAATTGGATCTCGTTTGTTGGACTGTCTTATTGAAACTTGGACAATGTATGATGGAAAGATGCTTCTTAAAGCACACCAAAAATGAAAGAAATCGGAGCATAAATAATGGAGTTCACTTCTCAGCAATTAGCCACCCATTAGCGGTATTTTGTATGGGTTTTATAGTTGTATTCTCGTTTTTTTGGTCTCAATTGATAGAATGGAAGATATATTACAGAAATAGATGTGATTTTTTATTGCTTTCACGACAAAAAGCACCTTGAAATTGAGTTCAAAGTAGGAGAAATGTTTGATTCTTTGGCTATGTTCAAGCGTAAACAAATATGTCACTGTCCATTCTAATATGCAGTCATGAATGGGTTGACATTATTTATACAATTAATGCAATAAGGCAGTAGTCTGCATAACATGAAATCTTCTATTTTTTGTGTGGAATAAAAATTACCAATTATTTGATGTGATAATAATATGTTTAATAATAATAATACAGGTCCTCCATCACAAATCCGGCATCATTGGGACCTGTAGTGTGCTGGATTACTGAGTTTGCCGAATTACAGTGGTTAGGTTAGAATACACTTAATAAAATTAACCAACTTGACTTACACAGTTCATTGAACATCGGCAAAATTTGGACATTTCCGCTACTTTGACCTCAATTTCAAGGTACTTTTCGTCATGAAAGCAGTCAAAATTATGTCTATTTCTGTAATATATCTTCCATTCTATCAAATGAGTCCAAAAAGAGACTACAACCATAAAAACCATACGAAAACATACTGCAAAGAGGCGGCTAATGACTGAGAAGTTAACTCCCTTTTTTATCGTCCATCTTTTTTATTTTTGTTGCACGTTAAGAAGCATCTTTCCATCATGCATTGCTCAAGTTTCAATGAGATAGCCCAACAAACAACCGAGAAAAAAAACATTTACCAAAAATCATATATGACAAGCCTAAGCCAGGTACTGGAAATAAGTCACTTTGTCTGACTTTTCTGGGTTATCCTAGGTTCTCTATACATATACTGTTATGTATGATAATCTGTGTAACTGTATTTGTGTATACCTGAATAAACTTACTTATTTACTTCTAGTCTGTCGACTGAGTACAAGAAACCGCCCATTCACTTATTTCAACTACCCAATAAAGTGGTCAGAAATTGGCAATTTGGCCAATTTCACACAAATTTCAACAGATGCCAATCTTAAAAAAGGTTTTTTCCAAAGGGCCAGACTTCTCCCATCTTTTCTCCCCTCATTAATAAAAAACACCCACACCCTGCTTTTTAGTCCCCCTTCTTGCTTTTAAAAATTTGGGGAATTTTTATCCAAAAAAAATTGAAGTTACGTTGAAAAACTTACTAAATTGTAAAACTGAAAATTTAAAATTTTCAACCAAATTTCTGGACTGGCGAAAAAACTGGCCTGGGAGGTTATTGGAGGTTCCACCTTGGCCTAACTTTTAAGCTCCTAAAAAATGAAATTTTTGGGGGCCTTCCTGGGGGGCGCCCTTCCCCCAGGTACTTTTCTTTCCGGGGGAAAGGGCCATCAACAACCTTTGGCGGGAAAATTTCCCTAAAAATTACAAAATTTCACGGGGCGCTAAGGATAAAAACCCTCTTTTTTGGGGGTTGATTTAAAAAATTTTTGGGGGGGGGGGAAGAAAATATTTTCCCCAAATTCATCCCAATTGCCCAAAAAAATTAATAGAACCCAAAAAAACTGAAAAAATAATAAAAAAAAGGGGGGTATCCGTTGGCCTAAATAATCGGGGAAGACGTTAATACGAAATGGGGGGTTTTCCAACAACCCCTAGTTTAAAGTAATACAAAAAAAATGTTCCTGACACCCGGGTTATTTTCTCAAAAAAATTTTTACGGGGTTTTCCCCCAGGGGGGGACAAACCCCATCCCCCCAAAATTTAGGAAACACGGGAAATAACATTCCCTTTATTGGAGATTCTTTTAGGTATGGGAGACGGAGGGGGAAGGAGAGTGGATTTTTTTATAGTTTGGAAAGGGGAACCCCCTCCATCATCCCCTCAGTACCTTTATTTTCTGGGGTTCTTCTTTTCCTGTTTTTTAATCCCAAATAGGACCCCCTTGAAAACAGGAGTCCTGTCCCCAAAAAAAATGGGAGAGAGCTCTGTTTTGGCGTCTCTTTCCACTCGCTAAAAGGGCCCCCAAAGATTTTTCACTGCATGTTCCAAACCTGGCTTGCAAAAACCCTTTTTGGGTATGTTTCCCCATAAAGTTTTCAATCTTACCCAATAGTAAAAATTCTCTAATTTCTGAAAAAGGCACCTTCTTCCATTCTCTTCCCCTCCTCTGCACAGGTTTGAGCTACGTGTGTTCCTTCGTGAAGCTTTGCAGCTCCTAGTGGGATCTTCATTGTGGTTTTCCCACCAATTACCCTCCAAACACACCCAACCCAGGGAACTCCCCGTGCCCAAATTGTTTTTAAAAGACATGGGCTCTTTAGGGTCGCCCCAAAAACCTTCAAAACCCCTCTTGTCGACACATCGGGCCCAAAATTTTTTCTCCAGGCGATTTTCAAAGCCTGGTGTCACTCCCTCCAAGCCATCCCTTATAAGGGTTATGCTAAAGATGTGAAATGTTTCCCCAAAAATTCCCCTTTTGGGTCAAGGTGAGTGTTGTGGTCAAGTAAGCACCGTGAAACATTGCTTTTTGTGTGTTTTTTAAAGTTTCAAAACCTGCGGGTCCATGGGTTGGAAAAAGGGGGTATTGGGACAAGAACTTTACTGTGTTGAACCCCAAACTCCCCAAAAATTGGGTCATCCATTTTTGGGAGGATGACGGGTCATTGCCCATTACTAGCACGCACTTGAGACCCAATTTTTTTTTTAGGAGATACTCCTTAACTGGGCCCCAAACACTTCATTGAACCACCTAAAAAAAATTTCCCTCTGCCCCATGCCTACTTTTAAAATTTCCCAAAAACACACCAATTTTCTTAAAACATTGTTTTTCCGAACACCGGGATTTTCAAAAGGGTACACTAGAAGGGGCTTCATTTTGAAAATCCCCATTTGATTGCCGAACATTAGCGCGCCTTTTTTCATAGGCTTGTGCCTGGCTTCCCTTTTTCCCTCTTGTGAAATGAAGGCCCTTTGGATTTTTTTCCCAAAAAAGAGGCCTGTTTGTCCCCCATTGAACACTTTTTCGGTTTTCAGTCCTTTTTGTACTCCCGGAATTCATGCACTATTTTTCAGTCGCCTTGTGGTCTGAAATGGCAGCCTCACCAGCCTTACCCATGTGTATGCCGTTTTTTTAAATCTCTCAAACCAGCCTTTGGGGCTTAAATTCACTCACTTCACCCCATTTGCAGGGAATTTTTTTACCAATTTTCATGCAACACCTAGCCTTTTCACAAATAAAAAAGTCATAAGAGTATCTCCTTTCTAATTGTTTTTTCATTTATCCACACAAAAAAAACTTCTCAACCTTTCCAGTACGGTGATCCATTTTTGTCCTAGTTACTCCCTTTGCCAAAGCACCCTTTTTTTCATTTTTTCCGGCCATGTGGAACAAAAGGTTGTGTAGGTTTTTCTTATTTCTCCTGGACAGTTCGCCAAACTTGACCCCTTTCATATGTTTAAGATGGTTTTCTTTAAATTTAGTCGTATTTCTCACCTTCTTTCCCCAGGCTTGGCATAGGAGCTTTTTTGGGGCCATGGTAGCTTATTTTACTTGAAAACACTAAAAAATGGAATATTTTGAAATATTTCGCTGGAGACGGGGGGGACCTTCGCTCAAAAACAATGCCCGTGGTGCCCCCCTGGGTCACGCCGTGCTACCGTTTCCCAAGAACTACGACCCGGGGTCAAACCCATGAAAAGGAGTCCATGTTTATACGAAAATACCCTATGTTGGAATTTTACGATTTCGGGAAACCCCTGTAAATTAAAAATAATAATAATGTCTTTTTTTATACATGCATGTACAAGGGGATACGGCCTCTGAAATCGTGACATCTACTGTATAGAAACCCCTTGTTATCAGAGATTTCAAAAATTTGGTCTGTCCCAGGATAACACCCACAT